GGGAGAGAAGGAATGAGAAAGCACCCCTCAGAGAGGATGGCCACAGCCTAATACTTTCTCTTTCATTCTCCTCTTGGGATTTTGGGCACCCACACACACGTGCCCAGTTTGTTTTTCAAGCCACTCAGTCCAGGATTTGAACTACGCAGTCAGCCACATGGGATCCAGCCACCTTAACCACCATGCATCCGTTTTTTAAGTTTTTAATTTTTTTCATAAGTAAGAAAAAGAGAGCCTGCATCCCCAGTGAAGGTTTATGTCAAGATCTACCCAACTTCAGCCAGCCCTGGATCACAGGCCCTATGCTTAGTGTACCCAGCTAGGTCTCCAAATGTAAACCTGGAACCTTCCTATGTGAGTCACCCTCACAGAATGCAATTTTTTACTTCTGTGTCATTGACTGGCCTCTACTTTTCCTTCAAAAAAAAAAAAAAAAAAAGCCAGAGGGAATATGTACTCACCAGAGAGAGCGAGCGAGAGGAGGAAGAATGAGAAAGCATCCCTCAACCCCATGAAGAATGATCACACTGCAGTCCCTTCTCTATCTCTCCCTCTTTTCACGATTTTGGACACACATGCACATGGACCTGACAAGTTTTTCAAGCTGCTGGGTCTGGGTCTTAAACTGTGCAGTCAGTGCTGTGGGATCCAGCAACTGTCTTAACCATCAGGCCATGGGCTGGCCATCTGCTTTTTTCATTTTTATAAACAGGAAAATACTTACCTCCTTTGAAATACAGCTCTGAAGATGTGTGGCGATAAAAACTGACGGCAAGAAGGCACAACGAGGAGCAGGCAGCTGAAGCCATACCACTTTATAGGATCAGTGGAGAGCAGGAAAGACATCACAAACCAAGAACTTTGGAAAATGAAGCCTAGGAGAAGTCTAGAAGAAGATTATTTGACTAATGACACAAGAGAGAGCACATGCTGAAAAGACCTCTGGTTTTGAATTTGCACCAAATAGCCCGTGTTGATGAGCTTGATTGCCCCTCAGAACTTCAGCACAAACAAAATGGTGCTTGCCAATTCAAATAGCTGCTATTGTATCATCTCTCTTCTTTATACTCTTGAGAGAAATAATTTATCCTTTAGTAACTTCTCATCAACAGTATTTTTATAGGATTCCAATCTTGGTCATCAACAAAGTCTTGACAGTGGTTTCTTGGCATTGTTGATTTGCCAGGTGTGGTAGCAGCAGTTGTACAACTTCATAATGGAACGAAGTACAAGAAATTTCCACTTTGGTTGGATAGGTGGATGAACAAAGCAATTTGGGCTTCTCGATTTCTTTTTTGCTCTACTACATGCAATTTATAGTATTCTTATCCAATGAGGCGACCCTACAGATAGAAGTTGCTAAACGAGGGACCAGCAGTTAGCATAATGGCTATGTTGCCAGACTCCCACGTAATCGACTGCAGTTTGCGTCCCCGACCCGGTGGCTTAAAACTCACGCCGGGCGCGTGGGCGTGCGTGCCCAAGATCCCGAGAAGAGAATGGAAGAGAAGGGATTGCGGCGTGGCCATCCCCCCTGGGGGGTGATTTCTTGCTTTCTGTTCCTCTCTGGGGAACGCACATGCCCTATAGCAAAAAAAAAAAAAAAAAAACCTCTCCCAAAAAAAAAAAAAGTGACCCCTGAGAATCTTAAAAAAAAAAAAAAAAAATGATGGCAATAATAGGGACCAGCACATGGTGTAATGGTTCTATCACTGGACTCCCACATAGTCGGCCATTGTTCAAGTCCCAGACTGGATGGCCTAAACCTCACGCCTGGCATGTGTAAATGCATATGTAAGATCCCAAGAGGAGAATGGAGGAGAAGGGATTGTGGTGTGGCCATTCCCCAAGGGGTGATTTCTCGCTTTCTGTCTCGCTCTGTCCCTGGCGAGCACACGCACCCTATAGCAAAAACCTCTCAAAAAAAAAAAAGTGATGGCGATAATTTATTGAGTGCTTGCTTTATTTCAGACACTGCTAAGTTTCTTGTATTTCCACCTCTTGACTGCCTGATAAAGTGGTGCATAATAAGAGCCAAGGTGTATATTTGCATCTTTTTTAAAAAAAAGAATTACTTATTTTTTTTTAATTTAACCAGAGAGGATGAAAAAGAGAAGAAAGCAAGCTGCCAGGTCTGGGACTCAAATCACAGTCGTCCATGTGGGAATCCAGTGCCTTTAACAACCACACCACCTGCCAGCCCCTATATTTGCATCTTGATTATCTAATTTTTTGAAGACTTTTGCCATAGGACATGTACTTGCCAGAGAGGAGAGAGACAGAGACAGTGAGAGGGAAAGTCATCCCCTTGAGGGGATGGCCACACCACATTCCCTTCTCTATTCTCCTGAAATTTTGGGCATGCATACACATGTACCTGGCATGATTTTCAAGCCACCAGTTCTGAGACTCTACAGGCAGCCATGTGGGAGTCCAGTGCCTTAACCATTATATCACCTGCTGGCCCCATTGAATTTATTTTTAAGTATTTATTTCTCGCATGAGAGGGACAGAGAGGTAGAGAGACAGGCACCCCTAAAAGGGTCTTCATGCTATCACCCACTCTTAGCCAGCCCAGGTCACAGACACAGTCCCACATAACATGTGTGTACAGGAAGGCCCCAGAGCGTGACCCAGGACCTTCCCATATAGGCACAGTTTCCTTATTACTGCACCACTGTCTGGTCCTCTAACTGGTTTGGTTTAATTGTCAGAGAGAGAGAGAGAGACTCCCCCAGAGGGGTGTGGTCACACTCCAATTCCGTTTCCTCCATTTCTCCATCCTGTCAGGATTTTGGACACAGGTGTTTTCAATAGCTGGAGCTGGGATTTGAACTGTAGCTGGCTTTGTGGGATCCAGCTTCCTTGACTACTGAGTTAAGGAACCAATCTGAATTTGTTTTTAATTTTTGTTATGAAAAATAAAGCAAGAAATCAATAAATTATTGCCTGGTGGTTAGGACGCTGGACACTCCCACATGGCTGACCATGGTTCGAGTCCCAGACCTGGTGGCTTGCTTTCTTACACTCTCCCCCATGCCTCCATCTCTCTCTGGTCAAATTAAAATAAATGAATGAATAAATAAAATAAATAAAGTTGAATAAATAATTCTTTTATTAAAAAAAAAAAACAACCTCAAGCATACATAAGAATGAATCCCCATAGTTATTTCTCAGAATCAAAAATTTTCAGGATTTTGCCACCCTTGCTTCATCAATCCTTTATTGTGGGGGGAGATCTGCAATATATGAAAGCATATCCAAGGCCTTTCATTTTATCTCTGCAGATCTCCTGTATATCTCTGAAACATATTCTGTGACTCGGTCCCTTATCAGACCTAATTAGTAATTAATTCATAATAATAATTCCTAATTAATAATTCTTTGATATTCCCAAATTTCTCCTGATTGCTTTAAAAAAAATTTTTTGGGTGCAAATCAGATGCAAACGAAGGCCACACAGTGGCTTAGGTCAGGTCTCCCTTTTTTTTCAGGGGGGGGGAGGGTTTTGCTATAGGGTGCGTGCACTCGCCAGAAAGAGAGAGACAGAGAGAGAGAAAGGGAGAACCCCTCCCCAGGGGGGATGGCCACACCGCAATCCCTTCTCCTCTGTTCTCCTCTCAGGATCTTGGGCACGCACACACACGCACCTGGCGTGAGTTTAAGCCACTGGGTCCGGGACTCAAACCGTGGTCGACTACATGGGAGTTCAGCGACATAGCCATTACGCTAACTGCTGCTCCCAGGTCTCCCTTTTTTTAAAAAAAATTTTTTTGAAATCCAGGCTTAGATTTTTCATAAACATTTTTTTCTTTTTCTATTACCAAAGGGCCATATGCTTGCCAGAGAGAGAGACAGAGAGAGGGAGAAAATTTCCCTCAGCGGGGCATGATCATGCCACAATCCCTTCTCCACCTGTCCTTCCATTTGGAATTTTGGGCATATAAATGTGTCCTGCATGTTTTCTTTCTTTTTTTCTTTATGAGAGACTTTTGCTATAGGGCGTATGTGCTTGCTGGAAAGACAGAGACAGAAAGTGAGAAATCACCCCTTGGCAGATGACCACACCACAGTCCCTTCTTCATCCTTCTCTTGGGATCTTGGGCACGCATGCACATGTACCCTGTGGTTTTAAGCTGCCGGGTCTAGGACTCTAACTGTGGTCGGCCATGTGGGAGTCCAGCACCTTTACCACTACACCACCTGCTGACTCCAATGTCCAGCATGTTTTTCAAGCCTCCAGGGTCAGAATTTGAACTTCATGGTCACCGTGTGGGATCTGGCTCCCTTTCCTACTAGGCCATGGTGCTGGCCCATGCTTTTTTCTTTATTATATTTTTAGGTTTTTGCCAGAGAGAGGAAAAGTGAGAAATCACCCCTCAGGGGGGATGGCCATGCAACTATCACTTCTCCTCCACCCTCCAGGGATTTGGGGCATGCACACACATGTGCCTAGCATGATTTTCAAGCTGCCAGGTCTGGGACTTGTGCTGTCTTAAGGGATCCAGTGCCTTAACTATCATGCCACCTGCTGGCCCCTTTTATTTTTATTCTTGATAAAGCATACATGTGCACATGGGAGAGAGAGAGAGGGGAGCACCCACCACAGGGTCTTGTCATGCCAAGATTCCCTTCCTCCGGTTTTCTAGTCCATCAGATCTTGGACACTCAGGCATGTGCCTGGCATGTGCGGGGCTGACCAGCCAGGAATTCAAACTGTGGTTACCACATGGGATCTGTGTTCTCTTAAGAACATTAAGACTGCACCAGGTTGGGCCTTTTTTAATGTATGTTGCTTAATAAACATTTGCCAACATAGATTGCGTGTGATTTCTTCCAATCAATGGGAACGTTTTTGTTGTTGCTGGTTTTTTTTTTGTTTGTTTGTTTTTTTGTTTTTAAGGAATGTCTTGCCCCTTAAGTTCAACAGGAAAATGTGGAAAATTATGTCAAGGTTATGACTAACTTTTCTCCCCCATGTTTATACTTGTCTTTGAAAGCCAGGTAAAGGGAAAAAAGGAAAAGGCCGGGGCAAGGCCCGCGGGAAGAAGCAGAAGAAGCCAGAGGTGGACATCCTCAGCCCGGCGGCCATGCTGAACCTCTACTACATCTCCCACAACGTGGCCGACTGCCTGCACCTACGGGGCTTCCGGTGGCCCGGCGCTCCCAAAGGGAAAAAGGGCCGGAACAAGACTTAAGGAGAGTGTTGCATGGCCCATCTCTGTTCCAGAGAACAGACCCTGGGGGAGAGAGTCAGGACAACAGAACTATGGCAAAATAGACCTTACTGAAGACAACTCGAAAAGCAAGCTCAGCATGCTTTGCTGTGGCAGTTAATGATAGAGAAATGTGTGTTACTTCTTCAGCTAGGCCAGGTATGGTTAGCCTTTGGTTTTTCAGAAGTTAAGGGGGGAGAGTCCAAGTAGTTCCTACACAGTGTGGTGGAATCGATAGTACTTTAATAAATTATTAGGATCATAATTCTGGGTCAGAATTAAACCTTGCTCTGAAAAGGCAGTTCTAGTTTGCATGAGTTGTTTTCTTTTGCCAAAGGGGGTTTGTTATTTGGAAAAGACACTGCAAAAAGACAGGACTTCCTGAGGAAGACCCCTTTTTTGGCCACTATTTTTTTTTTTCATAGAAAGTAATAAATATTTTGTTCCTAAAATTTCCTTCTCAGCCACTTGACTCTGGTTTGAATTAGCCCCAGACACTGTTGGACACTAAGTTTGTCCGGCTGATCTGTCCGTGCTAGGCAGGTGATTGTCAGTAGCTGGGGCAGTGGCCAGGGGTTGGGGCACAGGAGGAAGGGAGAAGTCAGCACTCGTCCTTCTCCTCTTCGTATTTCACCTGACTCTTCTCCCTCTTTTTTTCCTCCATACTTTAATTTTTCTTTTATTTTTCAAGTTTATTTTATTCCATGAGAGAAAGACAGAGGTAGCACCTCCTGATAGAATCTTCACCCCACAGTCTAGCCCTCATCTCAGCCAGCCCGGATCAGGGCATGTGTGTGCATGTTTGGTGTGCATTGGGAGGTCCTGGGACATGAACCCAGGCCCTTCCCAGGTGGATGCAGTTGTATTATTGCTAAACCCTGCCCTGGCTCCTTCACTTACATTTCTTCCCAACTTTCTTTTTACTTAGCTGACCCTGGGCTCTAGGATTGGTATAGAAACTTGCTGTGGGCTTTCAGCTGATATTCCAGGGCCTCTCTAACCCTGGGAAGAGACACTTAAGAGAATTGCAGTTGTTTCTCTTCAGCCTCAAAGGCCCAAAAGCCCCAAAAGCCCCAGTGTGAAACTTGGAAAGAGGCTTGTTTAAGTGTAAACGTAGTCATCTCCAGCTCACTTAGCACCCTGTTCCTGCTCTCTGCCATGTCTTCCTGGTCCTTTGCCCTGTCCCCCCACCCTCACTGACACTGACAGTCTTGCCTCCTTTCAGTCTGAGCTCAGAGCTGGCTCTCTCCAGGTGGTCCCTCTCCAGGGTGTTCTAGTCTGCCTGAATTACATAAGGGCACAGGCCAGATGTGCAGATCTCAAAGATTCATGAAGTTGTGCAACCCAGCATGAAGGATTTCATTCATCTCAAAGGGAAAAAAAGGAGCGACATGACTCTTTTTACTAGAGAAGGGTGCTCATGTCCCACATGGGCTTGTTGGAAATGACAGACCTCTACCTCTGCCACCTGTGCCACCTATTCAGGTCCAGTGAGGGCCCTCACTCAGAGGAACTGAAGGGAGGCCCTTTCTGTTCTCCGTCTACAGGTTTAGAAACGGAGCACCTTCCTACCCTGTTAAAGACTGCTGGGATGGGTCTAAGTGATCTCTGTTGTGAGCTCCCTGTCCCTCGGTCCATGGTTCTCTGACCTGGATCATAGACACACAGGCGCCTGCCATGTGTGCTGCTTAGAGAGGTCCTGGGATCCAGACCCAGAGCCTTTTCTAGGTGGGCCCTGTGTGCTGCCACTGTGCCACCACCGCCTGGTCTTCCCAAGGGAGATTTTCCTCACAGTGACAGTCTGGATCCTGCACCTTCACTACTCCAGCCCTGTGGTACTGACCAGGATGACGTTTACCACTCAGCCACCTCTAAGTGGACATACACCCGCATCTGTCTCCAGGCACTACCGGCAATGCCCTCTGCCTCCCCCACCCCCACCCAGGGGAGTGAGGCCTCGCCAAGAAAGGAAAGAGAAACAGAAGGTAATGAGCCTGCAGATGGCGTGGTGGTGGTGGTTAGGGTGCTGAATTTCCATATGACCTACTGTGGTTTGAGTCCCAGACCCAGTGGCTTAAAAATCACTACAAATAAATAAGTAAAAAAGTTTTTAAAGAAGGTAATGGAACTACAAGAGCCAGGACTTTGATATTTTTATTTTCCATTTACAAATTAACTTAAGGGACCAGCAGTTAGCACAATGGCTATGTCACTGGACTCCCATGTAGTCAACTGCAGTTCAAGTCCTGGACCCAGTGACTTAAACTCACAGCAGGCACGTGTGCGTGCGTGCCCAAGATCCCAAGAGGAGAATGGAGGAGAAGGGATTGCGGCGTGGCCATCCCCCCTGGGGGGTGATTTCTCACTTTCTTTCTTTTTTGGAGAGGTTTTCACTATAGGGCGCGTGCACTCGCCAGACAGACAGAGAGAGACATAGAGACAGAAAGCGAGAAATCACCCCCCAGGGGGGATGGTCACGCCGCAATCCCTTCTCCTCCATTCTCCTCTACGGGATCTTGGGCACGCACGCACACGCGCCCGGCGTGAGTTTTAAGCTACCGGGTCCGGGACACGAACCGCGGTTGACTACATGGGAGTCCAGCGACATAGCCATTACGCTAACTGCTGGTTCCCTAGGGACGTAGTTATCTCCACAACCTCTAACATTCTTTTCATTTATCTCGTTTAGTTAGTTACACTTTTTTTGTTAAAATTTTTTCTTAAATTATTTTATTTGTTATTATTACCTTTTCATGTGACCAGAGAAAGAGGGAAAGTGAGAAAACGAGCTGCCGTGTCTGGGACTTAAACTATGGTTGGCCCTGTGGGAGCCCAACACCTTAATCATTACTCCACCTACTGGTCCCATAGTTAGTTACACTTTAAAGCAAATAAATTATTTTTTTCCTTTCTGTTTTGTTGTTGTTGTTGTTGATGTCTTTCATTAAGTTTTTGCTGTAGGGCTTGTGTACTTGCCAGGAGGAGGCGAGAGAGAGATAGACAGAGAAAGTGAGAAATCTCCAAGGGGGATGGCCATGCCATAATTCCTTCTCCATTCTCTTCCTGAGATTTGGGGCACACATGCACATGTGCCCATCGTGTTACTAAAGCTACCAGATCTGGGACTAGGACTGGACCATGCAGCCAGTCAAGTGGAATACAGCTGCCTTAACTGCCATGCAACCTAGGGCATGTGCACTCACCAAAGGGACAGAGACAGAAAGTGAGAAATCACCCCCCAGAGGAGATGGCCACACCACAATCAGTTCTTTCTCCTCTTGGGATATTGGGCATGCACACACATGCACTTGGCATGAGTCTCAAGCCACCAGGTCCAGGACTCGAACTGTGGACTACATGGAAGTTCAATGATATAACCACTACACCATCTGCTGGTCCCTCTTTTTTAAGTTTAATTTTTTTTCTTACATAAGCAAAAGAGGCAGAGAGAGTGACTCAGACACCCTAAACAAGGCCTCCACACAGCCATCCAACCCCAGTCTCTGCTAGCCTGGATCAATGGCATGTGCACACCAGTGTACCCAAGGAGGTCTGAAGACACAAGCCCAGGCGCCTCACACATGGGCCCAACTGTTCCATGACTGTGCCACCATCCAGCCCCGGGAGTGTTCTAGGGTAAGTCTTTCTCTGGTGCCTTCAAGCTGTTCCTTACTGCTTCCCCACAGTCTGGAAAAGGGAGACCCTTTTCCTGTATTTATTTACTTAGAATTTGATCAGAGAGGACAGAGAGGGAAAGTGAGAAAGCAAGCAACCATGTCCAGGACTCAAACCATGGTTGTTCATGTGGCCTCAACCAACACACCACCTGCCCAGCCACCCTTTTCTCCACTTCTTTTTTTTTTTTTTTTTTTAGAGAGAGGTTGTCGCTATAGGGTATGTGCGCTTGCCAGAAAGACAGAGACCAAGAGACAGAAAGCGAGAAATCACCCCCCCACCCCCCGGGGGATGGCCAAGCCACAATCCCTTCTCCTCCATTCTCCTCTCAGGATCTTGGGCACACACGCACATGCACCCAGCATGAGTTTGAGCCACCAGGTCCAGAACTCAAACTGCAGTCGACTACATGGTAGTCCAACAACATAGCCATTTTACCATGTGCTGGTCCCGTTTCCCCACTTTTTAATGCAAGAATTGAGGGCTCCCAGAAGCTGAGGGCTGGGGGCCACTGAAAGATGTGTGGCACAGTAAGACTGGCGTGATCAGTCGTTCAGTTGTTGAATGAATGTATCGAGGGCCTGATGTGTGCCAGGCACTGGGGGGACAGCCAGGAGGTCAGGAGAACCCGGTCCCGACAGAGCTCCAGTTTTGGAGAAAGTGGTGCGTAGTTACTAGTCATTACTATGATGATATAAACCAGCACTCGCAGTAGACTCTGGGGGAGGACGATGTTCCGTGTTTGGGCTCTCCAGCACAGTAGACGTGAAGGACCTGTGCGACGCTACAGATCCTGCTCACTCTGGCGCCTTATCCTCTGTCTCCCTCTCCGGGTTCTCTCCCCACCCACGAGGTTCTGCTGCCTCTAGGTTCCTGCTTCCCGTGACATCAGCTCCTAAGTCTCCAGTGGTCCTAGCCTGACTTCATGCCTCCTGTGCTTGCTCTGAGAGTCAGCTTTCTCTCCTAAGCACCCCATTCTCTGGGCTTGACAGAACTGAAGCTGCCCCCGCCAATCCCTGTGTGTTTAAGGCCTGGGCTGTCAGGACAGCCAGTGAATGAGCTGCAGGTCCATGGTCGCCTCCCAGCCCAGTGAGCTGTGCCTGACGGTGTTGACAGTCACTGCCCGTGAACAGGGATCACTGACCAGGGACAGACACCCAGGGTGATGCTTCTGTGGGCAGGAGTGTTGGAACCGTGCTGACAGCAGCACTTACGATGGCACCCTATGGCATAATTCACCCCTTATAATCAAGATCCTGGACAGAATTCACTGATACTTTTTTCCTTCATTTATTCACCTTTCTGTTACATTTTTCCTGTCTCACTTTTTTCTTTTTTGGGGGGGTGGTGGTGGGTGGAGAGTAGTGTGCCAACTTGGTAGTTTAAAAAACTCCAAACCTACAGAAAGGTTGAAAGAAGGTACAATAGGGACCAGCATGTGGCATGGTGTTTAAAGCACTGGATCCACATGGCCAACTGTGGTTTGAGTCCTAGACCCCGCAACTTAAAAATCACTTTGAGTACATGCATGTGCATGCATGCCCAAAATCCTGAGGAGAATGGAGGAGATGAGAATGCAACATGGCCATCTCCCCGGGGGGTGATTTCTCACTTTCCCTCTTTGTC